CCCCAAAACCCCAAAACCCCAAAACCCCGTGAAATAAAATCTAACATCAATATCATGAATTAGGTAAATCAACTATTATTAATATTATTAATAACTTATCGCCAAGTTTCACTTATATTTTTCACTAGCTATCTAATTGTTTCTTTTAATAACAGACTTGACATCATTTAATTCGGTATTTGAAAGTAAGTCATGCATTTCTTTCTTTGCTAAGTCTTGAACTTCATAAAAATTTGGCATTCTGGGCTTAGACTTCTCATATTCCACTTTCCAATGTTAAAACGTTCTAATGAACACAAAAGCATGCAATTCAAAGAATGTCTGCTTTGATCTTGCGTTCAATTTCGCAAAGGTCTTAAATTATTTTCGGCCCGCTCTGAGCTTTTTAACTTAGTTTGCTACCTCGTTCTTATTCATGTATAGGTAGGTCAAGATTGAATGAGCAATGTTAATGCCAGTTATGGCTGTGAAGAATGTCTCTGTCTTGTCATTTATCATCTCTTAATAAATTTCGTTATAATTTTAAGTAAAGTATCTTAAACTTTAAAGACCAAGAATACCTCCACCTCTGAAGTCTGTACGAGGATTTTTACCCTAGAATCCGATTTTAGTCCATTCATCTGATATTAGATTATCAGGAATATTTTGTCCACGATCATATGTTCTGAAGTTATCAAGATAATACTATTTAAGATGAGCCTATTTTAATCGTTAACAGATTATTAAACAAGATCTTACCTCATGCTAGGAGTTTTTTTCATCGTAAAATTGCACTAAATCCTCACTGAATTAGTAATATTTTCTAATCTATAAAGTGCTTTAGAATTTATTAATACTTACTTCTCTTCTGTTCAAATCTTAGTTTTAGACAATGCAACAGCATAATTTTTCACCAGCTCCCTTATTTTGTTAGTGGAATATCGGCTATCTATTCAAATCATATTTCTTTGAAAGACTATGAATCTTTTTCATCTGTCTTTTATCATTTGATTCGAGATCTCCTGCGTTGATAGGAACCTATTATTTTCTCCTGTAGTCATTCAAAAGCTATTCATGCTCGACCTCCTCATCATCTTCAGACCATTAAAACGGATCACTATGATATTCCTCTGATTTCATTTTTAATTAATTATAATTATTAATCAATATCTGTGATTAGATGTCAGGTGGGGTTTTGGGGTTTTGGGG